TCTTGATCAGTGGCTGATCTGGGGGGAACCACGTGGTCTTCTCCTCTTTTGATCAGACCCTACAGGAACCAGATGGCCAAACTTTGGTACTTTGAACTCGCTCTTGCCAGCTAACATTTTGTCTAATGATAATGGCTTAAAATGGGTTGCCTCTCACGAGAGCAGTCGTCATGCCACCACCCTATTCTGTGCTCCGATCTGACACGGGAATGGAAGTTTTCCATTGGTGGATGTCATGTTGATTGATGTGTTTATTTCTTTCTTTCTTTTTTATTTTGTTTTTCAGTGTTGCTCTTGCAATTTACTACCACATCAAAAACAGGGAGTCTGACCGACAGATGGATATATTTGATGAGAAGTTGCATCGGCTTACGGTAAAGGTCATGCCTAGGGACAGTTACCGGTACATGACAGTGCTCAGTCAGCATAAGATGTTTGTGCTTATGTCAGAAATGTGCCATGGTTTGCATGCATCTGGATATTGTTATGACAGTGTGTGTTTTAAGCAAAGTGTACCTTTTAAGCAAAACCCAATTTTATGTCACACGGCCAACCACATCCATGTCATGGAAGAATGCTTAAGCAGCAGTATGATGTTGTTTCTGCTATAGTAAGCACAAGTTCTCTTTGAAATTGGACCTATATTGTAAATCTTAAGATCGGTAGTGGACTGTGAAAGCAGATTGTATGCTGGGTAGTGGAATGAAATACAGTAAGACCCAGTTCTTGGTTCAATTTCTCCATCATTGACTTCAATCTTTAGCAAGTCACACTGACCTGTCACACTGAGAAAACTCTACTGCAAAGGGCTGCCGGCTAACTGCTCTGACTTACATGTAGAAGCATTGCCTTCTCTGGCAAAGAAGAGGCACATGTAGAAGCTGTACATTTCAACAGAATTTGCTCCAACCTTCTTTTGCAGTACAAAAGTTTATTAAATCAACTGATCTCTCCATTGTTTTGCACTCCGTTTTAAATCTGATGGTGGTTTTTAGTTCACTGAAAGGCGCCACCATGTAAACAAAACACATCGTTGTGTTTACAAGTTCTTATTTCCTTCATTCTTTTCCTGTCCAACCTACAGAAAGATCCATTGCCAGATGACTACTTCAAAACCAATCCTGAACACAAGCACATTTACAGATTCATTCGGATGTTGTTCAACGCTGCCCAGCTGACTGCTGAGTGTGCCATTGTCACATTAGTAAGTTGTCAACTCAAAGTGTCATTGATGATACACGATTTGGTTGTTAGAAGCCAATGAACCCATAAGCATCCAGTCAGTTTCCCCATATGGTTTATTTGATTTTTGGGTTCCAAAAGCCGTATTCTCTTTTAGTAGTCGTTGTTCACAACTTTAAGGTTTGCAACAATGTTGCCAGTGTGGCTAATTGTCTATGGGTTCAGTAGAGTTTGACAAATGCCTCCTGAACAAAGATGGCAAATGGGAGAAGCCCTAACATAGGGCAGGATAGCTCAGTTGGTAAAGTGGTGGTGTGGTGATCTGGAAGTTGCAGGTTCAAATCTCACTCCAGTCAAAGGCTTTGTCCATAAACAGTGACCATGTGATCATCTTGTCAATTTTAGTTTTCACTCCATGGAAGGACAAAAGATAGCACGTTTTTACATAGCAACGACATCTCTGTGATGGGGAAACACTTCATATGGATCATCTGAAATCTTTCCCATTAGGCTGTCTCTGTTTGCAAGGGACCGGACGTGCTTGTGGTCAGAGTGGATGTGGTTTATTTGATTTCAGTTGTTTTATTTGATAGCAATTTGGTTTGGGGCAAGTACCATCATGTTTATAATAACCTTTGGTAAAATTTAGTAGACCTCAATTGTGGTTGTCATGTTTGTTGCCATCAAACTGCTATGTTATAATACGTGTAGGCTTTGAGTTACCCAATTCTTGGCAACATCTCAAAATACAAGCAGAAGTGATGTATACACGGGAGGTCCAAAATCTTATTTCCTAAAAATTCATTTGGTTAAAGTAATCATGGCAAATTTAGTCACATATTTGCATACTCTGTAATGAAACTGTATTCTTGAAATTCAGGTGTATCTGGAGAGGTTATTAACCTACGCTGAGATAGACATTACTCCTACTAACTGGAAGCGAATGGTGTTGGGAGCAATCCTCCTAGCATCCAAGGTGTGGGATGATCAAGCCGTATGGAATGTGGACTACTGTCAAATACTGAAAGACCTGACTGTAGAAGACATGTGAGTGGTTGATGGGCTTTAATCACAGTGGTTAAAAGCCTACTTAATATATGCATGATTGTGAGCAAAGTCACTGTATCGGCCCTTTGCCAGAACTTTAGTCTAATGCTGACACAAGAATTATACCATTAGTCTCAAAAAGGGTAGAGTTTTCATTGAATTTTATTACTTGTGTTTGTTACCGGTACTTGGTGATTCTCTCGGTTTCACACCGACGGCCAGCCATAATTTGTACTAGCCCCAGGTATCGTCTCTATTCAAAGGTCTTGCTTTCTGTCCCCACTCTCCATTCTGCAGGAATGAGCTTGAGAGACAGTTTCTTGAGATGGTGCAGTTCAACATCAACGTTCCCTCCAGTGTCTATGCTAAGTACTACTTTGATCTGCGTGCCCTGGCAGATGCCTATGAAATCTCCTTCCCCTCAGAGCCACTCAGCAAAGAAAGAGCCCAGACATTGGAGGTACTGTACCAAGAACACTGAGATTTCTCACAATAGCATACATTTTCTCCTTTTTAGTGGGAAAAAAATACACTAATAGTCAGCAAATCTTTTACACTGTCAGCCACCTTTGGAATATCAGAACTATCGATGATTTTGTTGGGGTGACTGAAATTTGAAATAATGAAAATAATTATATTCACTTTCATCATTTGTGTAGGCATGATTAAATGTCATACAATTTTAAACTACCATTTGGGTCAAAGGGTAGTTTTACTTTGGCTTGGGGTTGGAGTTTGGGTTAGAGGATTTGATTTAGGGTTTTGGTTAAGTGTTTGGTTTTGGGGTTTGGTTTAAGAGTTTAGGTGGCACTGAAGAATAGGAGAATAGAATAAAAGAAATAATAAGGTTTTCATCAGGGTAGCAAGTTTTTGGAGTTACCAGATCCATTTGTCTGGTCAGCTTTTCTCTGAATCTTTGGTTTTGATGTAAGACAAATTCTACCATTAAAGGGCTCTGTGGTTAAGAGAACAGGTTAGCCACGACTTGTTTCATTTAAATGGGGTCAAAATTAAGAGCGGTCCGCTGGCCCGAGGCCACAAAAAATTCATCCCACCACTGCATTCTCCTAAAACAATGGCCCAGTAGAATAGTGGTCATTTGAGGAACATTGCCACGTCTTCAAAACTTTCATCACATTTTATGACTCGTGTTTCAAACCACCGGCGCAGCACTTTTGAGTTCACGGTATTAACATTCAATGCCACATGGACATGTAATGGCGCGACATTCTGTTCACTGCATGGTCGTGCATACAGCTCATACACATGTGACAGGTGCCTGCCCTGGTATGTTGGCTGGTATCATTTTCTAACAATGCCAGTTGTACGTTATCTCCCATAGACACAATTGAAACCTTTACAGGTTGCGTCGCGTCGAGTCTGATCATTAGTACGTGTAATATAACCACCAATTAAATTTGTGAACACAAAAAAATACATATACAGACAACAGATCAAGTTCTGTGAATTACAAACTTGTAGAAATCTTCCTGTGACATCAATTTTTGTTAATGTGCAGCTGTAGAGTTGCGGGGGTGTACTGTGAAATTTACCATGCAATTTTGACCAAGATGCATGGAGTGGTTGCTGCTTTACCATCATGCCCTCTTTGGCAGTGGTGCGGTGAACAGGAACCAGTGAAGCCTTGCTTCTGTGCATCGAGCAATATTGCATGCATGTCTTCACCACTGTGATAATGAAATGCAAAGGGACTTGTGAAAATACTGGCACTTCCCCA